TATGATGATTACTTTTTGACCATTTTTCCATTCAATGCCTAAATGGGTATCTTCCAACTTGGGTCACATCCCTAGTCATCACCTTTTACTTCATACTATACACCTATCTCCAGTTTCTTCCTCTCAACCAAGTCGAGAATATATTTGGCAACAATTGCACTGCTCTCTTTTTTTTATTGTCTTTTCTTTAGCACCATAAGGAAGCAAGAGTCACAAAGGCTTAATTCCACTGCATTATTTCCTGTGCTGAATGCAGTGCATTCAATTCAAAGAATATCCTGGGTCCACAATGATATCATGCTGCCTGCCATAATTCTCCTTTCTCAAGTGCCTCGAATCATTTTGCTGTTAAATTGATGGATATTAATTTTGTCTAATTATTCAATTTTTGCATCTTAACAAACAAATAATTCTACTTATGTCAATATCTATGAATTAATACCACGCCCTTGCTGATTGCTCTACCTTGATCGATCATCTGTGTAACTTTGGACATCAATTTGAAGAGGAGAAAAGACAAGAAAAGCCAGGCCTAGCTAGTTAATATATAGCTAGGTTTTCAGCAATGGTTTCTTTCATTCTTTTTAGTCGTTACAACTATTGTTCAGTTGCCATCTATTGCATGAGACCTATTTATAAAAAGAACTCTAAGCACAATGTGATGTTTGATGCATGTATCATATACATATACATGTATGTGCTTGTGTGTATATATAAATAGATAAACACTTGCACTTGCATATATATATATATATATATATATATTTGGGGAACATATTTTATGCTCATAGCTAGCTCAGCACTGCCAACTGATCAGATGGAAGTAAAATTCACCAAAAAGAGTATCGTCAAAGCTTTCAATCTCTTGCCAGAGCATCACCATAAACTTATTACTCTTTCCAACCTTGATCTTCTTTCTGGCCGTTTTCCTGTGACATACTTGTACTTTTATCACAGACCTTCGATCAATAATTTGTCATCCACCGTTGAGTCGCTCAAGAGTTCCCTCGCCGAAACTTTGAGTTACTACTACCCTTTCGCCGGTCGAATAACGGAAGACCCGGATACGAGCGAGCCGATAATCATATGCGACAACACTGGTGCTCTCCTGGTGGAAGCCCAGGCCAACATCCCTTTGAGGAAACTGGACTTGTACAATATTAATGACTCCCTTCAAGGGAAACTAGTGTCCATCGACCCAAACTTTCCTTTGCAAGTCCAAGTAACCCATTACACTTGCGGAGGGGTGTCCATGACGTTCACCTTTGACCATGCACTAGGCGACGCAAGTGCTTTTGGTAAGTTTCTCTCCTCATGGTCCCAAGTAGCTCGAAAGATGCCACTATCTTGCATCCCAGATCACGGGAGAAATCTTCGACCTCGCCTCGCTCCTACATATCATCCTTGCTTGGATCAAACTTTTGTCAAGTGCACGCTTGAAGAGATTAGGAACATACCTAAGACCAACATCTTGCTTAAGCGCCTTTATTATGTTGACGCCTCCAGCATTAATAAGCTGCAAAGTCTTGCATGCGCCGACGGCAACAAGAGAACGAAGATTGAGGCTTTCTCTGCCTACATATGGAAGGTTATGGTGACCGCCATTGATAAAAGCCACGCCAAGTGCAAGATGGGTTGGTTAGTTGATGGACGTGGTAGACTCAATGGCTCCATGTCCAATTACATTGGTAATGTCTTGTCTGTGGCTATTGAAGAGGCAAGCATTGTAGAAATAAAGCAGGGCTCCATATCGGAGATTGCCAATAATGTTCACGAGGCCATATCAAAGGTTGCTAATGAGGCGCATTTCTTGGATTTGATTGATTGGATAGAGTGCCACAAGCCTGGACTGATGCTACCAAAAGTAGTTCTAGGTCGGGGAGGGCCTGCCCTTGTTCTCTCGTCCGGACATAGATTTCCAGTAGCTGAATTGGACTTTGGCTTAGGTAGTCCTGTGCTAGGGACAGTGTCCTCCATCATTGAAAAAAGCGGAGTTGGCTACATGAACCAGAGGCCAAGTGCTAGGAGTGATGGCTCATGGATCGTTTCAGCAATCATATGGCCAGAACTGGCTGCAGCATTGGAGTCTGATTCAGTTTTCCAACCCCTTTGTGCATCTCATCTCCAAATTTGATGCTATATATTCCACATGCCAATAATGAGCAACTTAATAATGATATATATATATATATATTATCTCTAAACAAAAGGTGTGGTAACTAAGTTAAATGGGGATCCTCTACTGTACTTGTAAGAACACTAGGCATTGGCAAATAATTAGCATATATATGTAATTATTGTAAGCCAGTTATAAAATTGCGAAGACCTTGTTTAGTTATTTGCACTAGCTACCAAACCATTCCATCAAAGTATACAGCAATGAATGGAAGAGAAAAAGGGTTAAATCATGATTCTGATACACCTCTCCAATCGATCATCTCATGGCAGACTTACAGCATTACTATATCAGATAGAAGATAGCCATCAGAAGCAGCCGATGACTACAGTATGCTTGGTTTGATGTTATTTATGTGCTGCCATTGTGAGCTTAAGTGGAGCAGAGACTGCCCCGATGGAAATATGTGGGTGAATGGAAAGGAGATGATTAAGCCTGATAATAGAATTATGGAAAACGCCATGAATATATGTGTCATGAGATTTTTAGCTACATTGAGTAACAAATTGAGATTTTGGCAGAAAAACCAAATCGATATATATATAAAACAAATTGAAAGTATTTACATTGAATCTCATGAATTTGACAATCTCATCCTTTGAACTCCTACTAATTACCTTTTCTCATAATTTCTTTGCACGACTCATCCATCTTATAAACACCTAATTCAGTGTTTCTTGGGGAACTTGCAACCCAAACACCCACAACTGCTTTGTTGTTTCTTATTTCATCCTACATCAAAACCCTAATTCCCAAACAAGGGAGAGAGAGTGTGAAAGAGATCCATTTTTTAGACAGCAAACTTCCTACCTATTGACTCCATCTAGTTGGCATTATATGAAAAACAGGATTCTATCGTATAACACCAGACACAGATTAACTTTGGGATGCTGATCTCTACTGATCGATGGGTAAATGATTCATGATTTCTCCATTCACACAGGGTAAGCCTCCAAATAATATGCCACGGACTTCCATCTTACATAGGGAGCAACTTGACCGTGATACTTGGAACTTCAATTCTTGCAGAAGTTCCTGAAAAATTTTTAAACGGATCTATTTAAGATAACCCCTTATAATCTATGTGAAGCAAACTAGTAAAAGAAAAATAAATCAACTAAGTGCAAGTTTAAAGCCAAATAAAGGCACTTTCATGCAGAGAAAATCCTTACACTGGTGGTTATCCCCAACATCTTTTTCCATGACGCAAGTAAGTCATAACAACCCCGAACAAGCACCTTCATCTTTTATAAGATTCTCTCCATCGCAGGCAACATAAACCTGTTACATGTAACAGTTCAGTCAGCAACCTAAAAACTCAAATGCGCACCACATTCTTGTCATAAGAAGCAAACACACAACTTAAAACATATACTCTAGTTCTTCTTTTCTTTCCTTTTTTTACTTCGAACTGATAATAACTTTATGACGCATGATACATAGGGAAAAAATTTAGGTTCCTTTATTAACATTAGAACTTCAGAACCATCAAGCACTAGTCAATGAAAAAATTTTCGGCACAACAATACAAGAATCACCTTCAACCACATCAGGAGGGAAGCAAACTCAATAGCAGATGGATTGGCAAGGCTGGTGTAACAAGGGACTCAACATTTGAAGCATAGTTTGAAATCCACAGCAGGGAAAATCCTTGCTGAACGCCCCAACACTCTCTGCTGATAGGTTTTATGAGAAATCACAGCACGTTGATTCATTTGACCGATTATGTCTCATGACCACTGTGCTTTTTCAGAGAGCTAGGAATGCTGTGCTTTTGTTATTTGTTAACTTGTTCTTTTGTTAGGGGACCATTGTTTTGACTCTGTAATATGGCTCTCTCATTTCCATGCAAGCCTCCAATGGCTTCGCTCTCTGTAAGCTAGTGTCCTTCCTTGAGAATCATACAACAATAAAATTCCTGCCTTTCAAAAAAAATAAAATAAAATAAAAAATTTCCAATAGAATTCACCAAAAAGTTTGCAAAAGAAGAAACAAATAAAGGCATCACCAAGATAAAAGGTAGGTTGTCGTTACATACTTATCATGTAAGCTTTATGTCTCTTTTAATTAGGGGGACAGCAGAAATTTTTTGGGTGAAAATTTGTACTTATGATTACAACAATCTTTTAAGTTTGTACTTATGATAGCATCAAGTGATTATTCTTATACGGTTTTCTTTAGGCATTTTGGTACACAATCCAAAATTCTCTTGTGAGAAAGAAAAGTAAGAATAATAAAAAGGTAAACTAATGGCTTTCCCACACTTAGCTCTTACCCTATAACTAACTTACCATCCATAATGCCTATAATATTCAACAAATTTGCCAAGTAATCTAATTATTCTAGGCTTCATAGGGAGCAGACGTGCAAACGGGCAGCATGAGCAGAGATTCTTAAATTGGAGATATTTTTGCCAAACAAATAGAAAAGGTCAAAGAAGGGGTTGCTTGTCAATATTCTAACCCAACTTGCTCACAAAACAAAGAGACGGGCTAGAGGGACATTTTCAGGGACATCTCAATAAATATTAGATACCTCAAACAATTATGTCCAAGGCTTGACTTTGTAAGTTTTGATTATCCAACCTTTGTGTTTCACATGTATTGAGCATAATCATAACCATTTCAAGAATAATTTAAGAATTTGTTCCCAAATGAAAGCGTAGAATGACATATCATATGAGTTTTAGCTTTTTATAGAATGCAATTCTCATTATATCAATCTATAATAAATTTCTTTACAACATACAGGCATTAATATAATAAGGAATTAAAGATACATTTTTACCAATGTATCCTCGCCATATTGCATCCTACTCTTTCTAAAATTTGGTACCATTATGTCCCTGTCATACAGTAGCTACAGCAGCTGCGCCCACTGTCCATATATAACTATGGAGGGAAGAATATCTTTATCAAGCTAATACCAGCAGAAGTAGGAATGTATTTCCTTTGCATATTTGTCTCCGTTTGCCCCACATCTGAGATTCCTATCTCATAATCTAGTCTAGTTCTGTATGTCAAGACAAATTTTTGGAGATTTTTCATAATTAGTAACTTAAAATTGTCTAATAGGTAATAATTCATTAGTTTCCACACAATACTCATCTCCAATACTAACCATAAGCAAAAACTAAATGATAGATTTTTACATTTCTGTTAAGACGTACCTTTTAGGGTTAAAATATATAAGTAGGTGATGGCAAGGTCTTTCATCAACTTTTCTAGAAAAGTTATGAACTGTAAATCCCCAAGTGCCTTATGATGAATATTAAGACCTGTAAATCTCCAGTATAGCTCGAACCACCTGTGTGCACTTTAAAAGGATTAGAATCAGGGAGCAACGATTAACAAGTTCAGAAAAACTAACGGGAAAACCATCTTTCCATTCCTGACCTCTTACAAAATCCATCTAGAGAGATCACCTCTATGGCTCAACCTGTCCTATATCAGGTACTCACACAGTGAAAATTTTAGTAGATGATCTGTCAAGTCAAAAGCAATTTGTAGCAAGCGCAATCAAAAACAAAAATGTTGGGAAAATACACATGACTTGAAGAGCAAGACATTTTAGTTTTTTAGAGCAATAAAATATGCTACAAAAGTACCTTAAACCTAGCTCAGGCATGAGGATGAACTCCTTTGCTTGTGAGCAGCTTGCCTGTAAGGAAAAGAGGGAAACAATACACACTTTTATTATAATGGACAGAAACCAACAGTCACAGCATAAACTCCTAGTGTATTGCAAAAACATCTAGCAAAGCCAAACTGCAAAAAGCTTTAATGCAAGGATAAATACTAAGATTACATATAACAGGATGAAGCAACGAACCTCTAATGTTTAACAGCCAGTATGAATTTTGTTGCAAGGATCCAGAAAGATATCACAGCAAGAATATACTATGCAGAATTTTCACCCAACCTCTAGGTACTTTGCTCACTCTTGATTAGAGCATGCTGATGGCTGATACCACTCATGAATCAATGTTGTATATGTAATTTCATCTAATGGTAGTCCTTCGCTAGCCATATGATCACATACTTTAAAAGCATCTTCCACCCTCCCTTCCTTACATAACCCATTTGTAAAGGCATTATAAGTGACAACATCTGGGACTATTCCATTCTTAACCATCAAACAGAGAAGCTTCCCTGCTTCTTTCATGTTACCCAATTTACAATAACCATCAATCATGACAGTATAGGTAATTTTGTTTGGTTGTACATTGGATGAAGACATTTCCTGCAAGAGACTCCCAACTTTATCCATCAGGCCAAGCCTACAATAACCTCCAAGTAATGCTGTATAACAGACAACATTTGGCACCAACCCCAGTCCTCTCATTTCAAGAAGAAGTTGTCTCGCATCCTCAGGAACACCCATGTTGCACAATCCATGTATTAGAGAAGAATACGTGCAAATTGTTGGTGAGATACCTTTGCTTTTCATGTCATCATGAAGTTTAAAGGCGGCCATAATATTCCCACTTTTACAGTAAGCTCTGATCAGTGTATTGTAAACAACAGCATTGAGGTCCACTTTGTTAGTAACCAACTCATTGAACAGGTTTTGACACTCTTCAATTTTATCAACTTTACAATATCCCTCTATCATGATTGCATATGTATAAACATTGGAAAGAATACCATGTCTTTTGCACTCATCCCAAACGTAAGCGGCATCTTTCATTTTCCCCATATTTGAAAAGCCATGTATTAGCAAATTGTAAGTATAAATGTCAGGCTGAATTCCTCGCTTAAACATCTCTTCCTTTAACTTAAAAGCTTCCTCCACTTTCCCCGCTTTGCACCATCCCAAAATCAGTGTATTGTAGGAGACCCTATCTAATACCAAACCACTCTGTATCATCTCCTTTAGAAGCCTAATAGCCTCTTGCATCTTACCTGCTTCATATAAACCATGTAATAAAGCATTTGAGGTCACAGTATTGGCTGCAAAACCTTTCTCAAAAAGCTTAAACCAAAGTTCAATAGCCTCAGAATGCTTTCCGTCCTTGCAAAGTCCACCAACCAATGTAGTAATCAACCTGTCATTGGGCCTTAAATTTCTCAATAATATTTCCCTGGTAAAATGTAGAGCAGAATCAAACCTAGACTTCATGCATAACCAATGAATTACAGAACTGAAGGCACCGAGGTTTATAGATAACCCAATAGATAACATTTCCTCTAAAAGATGCTCAGCATGCTCCATTTGGCCAGTCCTGCACAACCCCTGGATAAGCGAATTCAATGTAACAGAATTGGGAACCATCCCCTTGGATAACATCTCATCCCTTATACTAAGTGCCTCATCAATATTTCCCACTTTGCAGTAGCCATCAATTAATGTATTATATACAACCTCATTTGGGACAAACCCCTTACCAGACATTTCCTTCAAAACAGAATTGGCTTCCTCAAATTTATTCAATTTAATCAAACCATTGATAAGAACACTAAAAGTAATGAGGCTGGGTTGCACTCCATGTTTTGTCATGCTCTGTTTAAGCTGAAATGCCTCATCCAGTCTGCCACTCTTGCATAATCCATGGATAATATTATTATAAGTGACTACATTTGGTGCAATACCCAAGTTTTCCATTCTAGAGAACAGGGCAAAGGCGTCCTGAATTCTTCCACCCTTGCAAAATGCATTTATCATAGTAGTACACAAGTACACATCAAGAGAGACAAAACGAGACAAAGTTTCAAACACTTGATAGGTCTTTTGCAGTTCATTAGCCTTGACTAAAGAATTCAAGAAAAAGTTGCAAGTCTTGGAAGAAGGAAACATACCCTTGTCGGCCAGTGTGAAAAAGACATCAATAGCGGAAGTAAAACCCGCATTTTTGAACTGGGTGCAATAGAGATGAAGCAACATATCAACCCCCATAACCCGGGGAACCCCCTTAGAAAGTGTATTCAAATTCGCCAATGCAGTAGTAATCTGAATATGATCAATGGTAGAATTGTTAGGAGAGGAAAGCGGCAGCTTCCCATCAATCAAACGAATGAAGAGCAATCTAGCAGGTGAAGAATGATTGGAAAGAAGAAGCAAAAGAATCAAAATACAATAGGATCGAAGGGTAAATCGGAAGTTGAAGGATTGAGAAGCAAGGTAAAAAAAATTCAAAGTGGTTTTGGGATTGACATGCGAAGAAATGGCTGAGAAGAATCGATCAAAATCGAGAGGCGACAAAACAGGAAGGAGCTGTTTGCATTTGGAAGAATCTAGGGATGACTTAGAGAGAATACAAGATAGCCTACCAAGCAGACCCTGGTTGTTGTTATTATTATTAGAATCGTTGGAAGAGTCGGAGTCGGTTAGATTCAAAGGCGGCGGAGGCTGCTGGTGAGGGCTGAATTGTTGGACAGCTGCAGCAGCAGAAGTAGTAGATGTTACGCAGGTTAAGGGGCGTGTGATTGGGGTGTAGATATAGATGCGTTTGTTGACAGCCAGTCTCCTCAAATCCATTGCTAACAATGTTTGGATTTCTGGGGAAAATATAACCAGTTGATTAAATTGAATATGGCATCATTTGATTTGAGAGGATAATAAGCAGCCACGCCCATGCTAATTTAGACAACAAACACATACCCCTTCCTTCCTTTTGCGTTTGGAGACTAAGTTTAGATTAGAGCCCACAGAAACAAAAGGCCAAGTGCAGGTAGCTAAACAGAAAGAAGAAGAAAGCCAACAACCTGAAACGACGGAAATGAGGGTTTAGGATTTGGACGGAGATACATAGCGGACAAGGGTAAGGGAGAATGGAGATGGCTTCCGTTCATATGGGCCTCAACCCAACATGTAATTGGATTGGCTTAATGGGTTAACCGACTTTCGGCCCTATTAGTAAACCCTCCTCACTAAGTTAAGCCCTTAGTCCAAAAAATGTCAAACGTTGTTTCTTCATCATCAACAGTGCCAACTCTCCATCGCCATCTTCATCAGCTTCCGAAATCAATGACGTAGAACGCTTTCATCAGCTCCTTCTCTTTCTCATTCTCTCCAATTTTTTTGATCGTCATCATATACAAAAATTCATCAAAATCAATTACGCCACTGTTGTCAAATTTATCTGTATTTACCAACATTCTGTTGATCTCTTCTCCACGTAACACTTGCTTTATAATCTAAACTCGCCATGCCAATATTCAGATCAGTGACATCAATACTACCAGATTATCGTTGGTACAATACTACTGATTAGTAATTACATATCTTGTGTTAAATTATTTTGAAAAAGAAGACACTGCATCCGTACGTATATATACGGTATATACTTGATGAGTGTAGAGCAGAATTAAGACAAAAGTTTACGACTGGACAGATGGCTCATTTGTAAGCTACTTAAGTTGTCTACTTATGGTTATCCACTGATGGGGGTTAGTTTCGAGTTTCACTTGGTTCACACCTGAGAGGATCAATTTTGTGGCTCGCAAGTCAGAATTAGTTGGTATATAATGACCACTCAAACTCAAGGGCTGGACCGCGCCCCAATTTTGGGGATATCTATGGAAGATAAGGATTGATGCGAAAACAGAATATTGTATATACGTAGAAATATTGGATGTATATGCCTCCTTAGTCATAGACTTTTAGGACGGAAAAGCTTGTTTCTGGCCCTTTGCGTTTGCTTTCTTCATTCTCTGACCACACAATATGTATGCACTCCCATCTTAATCAGTTACTTAAAGTTTCTTGTGAGCTTCAACCCCTTCCTCCTTCGGGTTATTCATTTCCAGATTTAACACTTGGATTTTAATTGCTGACAACATTGTTATAGCACTTGCCGGCTACAAGGAGATGATGAATTAAGATTCGTTCGATTTGTGAAAAAACCCAAAACCATGTGCACCTTCCCCAAGTTGCAGATGCCAGATGCCGTTTTTTTTTTAAAATATAAAAAGGCCAAAGCCCGCAACAAATTTAAGCACTGGGCTAGCAGACAGTGAGCATCCATAATACAACGGCGTGGAGGCACCACTGGGTTTAGCATCATCGGGCACATGGGTTTCCAACCCCATAACCCTACGCTGCCTTACTCTTGCTGCTCTTACATTACAATACAAAATCTCACCACTAAAACAGACACTTGCATTATTCTATTGTGCCCACTGGATTTATTTCGTTAACTGGCAAAGATTACATAACAGCCCACTGCTAATAGAATCTATTTATGATAAAAACAATAATAAAGTATACATCTAGTAGTTAAGATAAAATTCATCATTCGTTTAATTAGCTCAGTAATAGATTCATTAGTGAATTTGAGTTACTTTAAGTTAAATAAATGATTAGACATTTTATTAATTTCGGTTTTTCTTCTACTTAATTTATTAGCTAATTCAACTTATCAAAGTAAAATTAGTATTTGAGTTTCAAAATTTAGTTGCTATGTATTATGACTTTATATTTGAAAGTTGGCGCAATGAGAGTTTAATAATTAATATCATGACTTTTTACATCAATGAAATTTAAAGATATAAATTGCAAATATTAAATTTTGAGGTTTTATTTCTCATTGATGTCAAATGTTGTGCAGAGAAATGTGCATGACCAAGCCGGGCATTCTAATTAAGTTAAAACTCGGGATAGGTTTAGTTCGACTATTTAATTATTGTTTTATATTAACATTATAATATTTGTACATATAATTTAGAATTAAAATCAAATAATATAACAATATAAACAGGCTAGGCCAAACTATATTTAGGCTTATGAAGTTATATCCAAATTCTACTTAACATGTTGCAAGTCCTTATATTTTGTTATCTAAAAATGAACTTAATAACGAAATATATGAACTTAATTTTTCCCATTGAAAACTATATGATCAGTTTTTCATATAAGTAATCAATTAAACCAGCTCTTGCTGTTGGTTGCAAGAAATATGTATAGGATTTCTGGTGGCAGCTTCCACAAATTGCTACCATATTGTTTATTGCATGAAAATTAAAATGCGGAAGCCCTTTACACCACATTTATACTTCATCTAGTTATGTTATAAATTTGACATTTTGAACTTCCTTAAATTTCACGATAAGTATTAATTTCGTTATTTAAATTTTATCCAAATTTAATTATAGAATATTTTAATCAAGTTGAACAATATAAGATAAGTATTACCACTTTTTCGAGTAAAGTGTACTGAAGAATTACTATTTAATAGTAAGCTAGCACCCATAAAAAGTATATATAATTAACGGGATGAATAGAGAGTAGAGAAGGATTTTCATAATTTACCGTTCTAAATGTAATCCTAATTATAAAAGAATAAAGGGCAATCCCGCAGTACTGATTACTGATTAGCCTCAGTGATATCAATAAGGTTGACAGTAGCCTAAATTTTCTCAGAAAAAGGGCAAATAGCTGCGGGTGCTGCTGGCATCACATGCTGCCACATACCCCCTATCAAGTATAAACAGTCCCCTCCAAAGCATGAAAATTTTTGTTGTTTTTTGTTCACAGCCTTGTAAATAAAATAAATGAGGCCACGTAAAGACTTGGATCACAAACACCAAATTTTCAATCTGAAGAGCAACCTCCGCCCTCGTCCAAAACAATATTCCATAACTGAATTACTGCTAAGGTTTGTGATGGCTGGACAGTCGAGGAAATGGATGATTCTAGTGGCGACGATTTGGATTCAAGCGTTCACGGGCACGAATTTCGATTTCTCCGCGTATTCCTCGGAGATGAAGCGAGTGCTGGGGATATCGCAGGTGCAGTTGAATTACCTGGCAGTGGCGTCGGATATGGGGAAGGTCTTCGGGTGGTCTTCAGGGTTGGCTCTCATGTATTTTCCTTTGTGGGTGGTGCTCTTCATGGCTGCTTTCATGGGCCTTTTTGGTTATGGAATTCAGTGGCTCGTCATTCGGAATGTCATCTCTTTGCCGTATATGCTGGTATGCTCCTCTCCTCCCCTTCAATTATCTGATTTATGAAATACTGCCTGCCTGCAATTCATCTCTCATCATATTTCATCCTAGTCTTAATTTTGTTCTAATTTCCCGTTTCTGGTATTGGTCGATAAATTAAGAGACCTCTATTTTCTCATTTCTGGAACCTCCAGAAATAATACTACTGTGCTAGTAGTATTTTTTATTTTTACTTTCTAATTGTTTTATCGTGCACTTGCGACGACCTCGGTAAGCAAATCGCGTGGTCTATGGGTGACCGCAGTGTGATTTGATTCCACTCTGTTTCTGGCTGGCTTCCTAATTTCTGTTTACAGTTTTTCATATCTTCATGTGAATGTGACTGATCACTGATCTACGGTTAATCTATTACTATTAGAAGTTTGGTTTTTTTTGAAAAAAAAATTGAGGGTAAATCTTTTCCTTCAAAATATGCAGCCTAAGCCTTCTACTTTGCATTTGAAACTTTCCATCTCTTTCTCCTGGCTGCGCAGCACTAGTATTCAACTATTTATTTTGACTTATTAGTTTGATATTGGTATCGAAAAAAGTTGGGTTTAAAAAACAAAATGGGGTTTAGCGATTTTAAATGTTTGATGTTGCTCTAAATAATTAAAACATCTGAAAAGGACACCATTACAAATTAAAGAATGAATCATGTTCATAGTTTTTATGTAATTATTGTTAAGAAATATATTAAAAATAATTATTGTGAAATTTCATTTTAAAAAAATTAATTTTTTTAGAAAATTAAATTGCTTCAAACTTGGAATTGAATACTTATGTTCTCACTCAATTTTTATTTTTATTCATTGAAATGCATTAAAATCTTATTTAAATTCAGAATATTAGAATAATTACAAAGAATATAAGCAAAGATTGTGATTATTTGATATTCAAAAGCAGTTTTAGCACTAGCAAAAGTACTTGTCGGGCAGTGTTTTAACGCTGTTAGCAATCGCAAATATATGATGAAAAAGTCATTTAATTTTGATGATATTTTTTCAGCACACAGCATCCTCAGCACTTTTTTTTTGTTTCGAATAATCCTCTTTTCATTTAAACACCCTTTTGTTTCACTAATTTAATGACTTACTTGATAGTTCAAATTTAATGTTTGAAGGCTTTTTTATATTTAGGATAACTAAAAGGATCAGTCATACAAAAATGGAATTGTAGACTAATAATGTTAATCTTTTTAAAGATTATTATTTTATTTATCAGCGATTGAGCTTTTAAATTTCGTAAAAAAGGATCAGTGTCACCCTATAATTTTTAAATAACGGTGTTCATTCATTAATTAAAGGGTAACTGGTGACACTGTTCATTCAATATTTCCTTGTATAGTAACTCCAAACCTTGGTTAAAACAGCCAAAATGCAACGAGTCCCTGCACTTTGTTCCAGGGATATTGATGATATAATCAGTGCACTTTATCTTTATTGGAAGAAACTTCCGGCTGTCCACAAGCAAAGATTTTCTGCTTCCTGCAAACTCTCGCTGTTAACGTGGAATAGATTTGTTTCTATACAAGGCCAGTTTTCTGTTGGTTTGCTATTTTTGTCTGTTTGTGCTTGTTTCGGTTTTTGGGCACTTGCAAGAGGGAAGAGGGAGGAAAATGGCGGTTGGGCCTGTGTTGTTGTTTGAATGTGCACAAGCACAACCCAGAACATGGTATTGGCCCATACAAATTCAATCATCCCTCAAGGCCATTTTCCCATTGGGGGTTCTTCCTCGAACCTTCTCGCAAAAGTTTTAACTTTAGGTTGCCCTAGCAAAATCTACAGCATGGAGAAACAAACAACGCATGAACCATCTCTTTCTTGTTTGATTTTGGTTCGACTGATTGTGTGAAGGTATCTAGTATGTCCCTTGATCTTGAATAGTTAAATCAAGGTTAAGGTGATTATTTTCCAGAAGCAAAAACTATATATATTTATATATAGATTGTCATTCTCATGGTTCGTTTTAGTCCCACCTGACCTTAACAACATTTTACAGAGAAAATACAAGTTGTTTAACCGATTGAACCAATGGGCAAGTACCATCTTTCAGTATTAATATTAATATTATGAAGACGATAGTAACTCAGTTCATATTTAACTTACAAAATCATTTAATTCGTTTAACATAGTCCGGGAGCAGCACTGGTGTTTTTCATTTGAGTTTTATGGCCATGTTGGACTTAAGGATCCTTTTTTAAAAACTCAGAGACAGCAGGTGACAGATCAATGGCTGTATTGCTTTCATGTCCAGTGCACGTGGGTTGACTTGAGATGGTTGGTACTTGGTATATATACTTTCCTTTTTTCTCCATTCCTGTCATGAGTGTGCTATTATGGCAAACCAATGAAAGAGTATGGATTCTTCGGTGTACAGGAAATTATTCAAATTCCAGAGAAAGAATAAATTAATTCCCTGAAATTACAGATAAGACTTGTAGTTGCCCTGATATGATTTAGACAAATAAACTACCATTGCATATAGTTATTTGTTATCATTTTCGCTTCATCATCTATGGGATCTTCATTTAAAGCAGAAGTAGCTAGTCATGCACGCATGGTTTTTTTTTTTTTTTGGTTGAATAATTTAGG